AGCATAATGCCTGAAAGAAAAACAAATTAAAACGGTTGAGCAAGATAAACTGGAAAAGTTGAAACGGATTGCATCATTGACAGAAAATGGGGAATTGTGAGAGCATTTCGGACCGAAAATGATGCAAAAAGTCGAGAAAAATAGCTTAGAACCTCTGTTTTATGATTTTACACAGAAGAATGTTGGAGAAAATTCTCGAAACTTTTATCACGGGCTATTGCATCAACTGAAAACTCAAAATACACTTCTCAAGGCACTCCGAGACTCCGTCCATTTTGCAGTCCGGTCGGCGACAGGTGCTCCGCCCTCTTCCTCCGCCCCCTTTTCTCTGGATTTTCTTCCTTTCTCTGGATTTTTCAATATTTAAGAAGCCCCTAAAATTCCGAGAGAGGAATTTTCCGGAAAAAATGTCCCGAGAAAAGTGGGCGGAGTCAGAGGGCGGAGCCTAAGTTGCAACCTTGCCATGGTTTCGCAGTACTGTTTTTCCTCGTTACCGTTTTTTTTTTGGAAAAAATTCGGAAATTCGAAAACTCCAAAGCTCGAAAGATTCCAAAATTTATCAAAATTTTCGAAAAAATTCAATGATTCCAAAGTTCCGAAAACAGCAAAAAATTCAAAATTTTCGAATTCCGAGGAAAACAATTTCCGGAAAAAAATTATCGGGAAAAGTGGGCGGAGCCTAACTTGCAGGCAGCGCACGTTTTGTATGCTTTTGCATATGGTCATGAAAAAAAACCTTGCGGCAAACCGTGTCAGCCTTGAAATTTAGGCTCCGCCCTTACCTCCGCCCACTTTTCATCTGGTTTTTTCTCGGAATTTGAGGTCCTTGTTTTTAGAAGCTAACCTGAATTTTGAACATTTTTTGTCTTCGAAACAATCCTCTCAATACGTGGACCCAAATCAAAAATTTGAAAATTTTGAGTTTACCAAACGTGACTTTCTAAAACCGCCATCCACGTGACTTCCCCCTCCCTCCTCCCTATTCTCGCCTGAAAATTCCAAAACTGATCAGTTCCAATCAGTCCAGGTTCATCGACTTCATATTCATTTTGTGAACTTGAACAAGATTATACGAAGGTCTGTTATCTGGATTTTTTGGTCCATCACATTACCTGTAATTCCAGATGTCGGATCCAGCTGAAATGGAAGCTTCTGGAGGAACAGTGGTCGGAGAATCGATTCCAACGCCAATGATGGCTGGAATGGTTGCAGGACTCATCTTTGCGATTTTGATGATGATCTGTCACATTTGTATTGCAAAATGTCTCGTTGGACAGCGACTTAAACATTTGCCACGTGCCCGTAAAGTTAAAGTGAAGAAGAACAAAAAGGATAAGAAGGGAAAGAAGGGGAAGAAAGGAAAGAAGGGAAAGAAGGGTGAGGGAAAAATCCCAATAGTTCGTATATTCTGATTTTGTAATTTTCAGGATCTGGCACAACAACTGGATCGACTTCTTCTTCTACGGACGGAACTACTGGTGCTACGACTGGAACCACTATGTAGAACTCTCTTTTCTCTCTTCGATTCTTTTTGTCATTCATCCCGCCGTACCGTATTCTTTTTCTGATTAGATTATGAGAAGTTTCTCTCATTTTGAAGAAGTCTCAGACAGCAATAAATGCTAATAAACCATTCCATTTCTTGTTTCTTCTTGCTTGAACATTTTATTAACTAGAACAGAATTTATCTGAAATCTACACAAACTGCGTAGATCACATCGATGGTTGGTACATCCACAGCTTTGTCTACTGTCCATTTTCTTGTATTTGTGGTGCATTTGACTGCGATTTTGCCTTTTGGGAACTAAAAAAACAACATACCGTAATCACTAATAGAATGCCTATCACCCCTATCATGTAGAGCGTTTTATCAGTGATTTTCGAGCTACCGTAATCCCATTTATACGCGTTTCCGACTTTGCGACAAGTCAAATCGTCAAGAACCACTTTTGCAGGTTTGATGTCGTCTTTCAAGTAACGGCGCATCTGAGGAACAAATATGGGTAACTGTAACTCTTTTTTGAAGACTGAAACTCACAAAGATGGGCGGAGCTTCATCTCTGAGCAACATCAACTGGAAATCTGTCGGTCCGAGAAGAGCAGCATTAAACGAGACTTCGCAATTCGAATCAACTGCTATTGATGCTCGAATAATCAGTTTCCTCGCGAGCCACGATGTATGTGAATCCATTTGAATGATTCCAAGAGCATCGATATGCTTTATTGGTGGACATTGACATCCATTCATCGGGACGTCATCTTTTTGAATTTCCAATTTTACACATGCCACAGCTGGATTGATAACACGAGTTCCTCTGGCAATCCATATCTTAACTTTAGAGTCCAGAGGATGGTCTACACATCGAACAGTTCTGTCGCCTCTGTCGCCGGTCATCTAGATGATAGGTTGTTTTTGTGGAGAGAAATTTTCTAGAACTAACCGAGATGGGATCATTATTCTCACTGAAAACGAATGGATCAAATCCATCATCTGCACACCCAAGTATTAATTCATTCAGCGTATAGAAATGAACCCATCGATTCTCACCAAACGATGCTTTTCTATAGTTCCCTTGCCATAAATTTGAACATCCGCAGCGCAAGATAGACTTGGATTAGGCATTCGGAGATTAGCAAAATACCAGTTGAATGCTCCATCTTCCTCTTTTAAGCACATCAAATCGTCGTATTGTTAAACATATGATGAAGACCCAGCAGTGATGGCATATTTGTCAACAGAAAACAGAAATGGATAGGTCCCTTCTGGACGTTCGCAACTGGCATTGAAGTACCCGCATCGATTGGGATCAGATTTCATGCGACTAGATACTGTAGGAAATCCTTCGATTATAATGCTAGAACACTTGCAACTATCTTCATCAGCAATACAAGATAAAGATAAATCGGGAAGTGGGGAGCCATAGTAATGCCATTGATAGGTTCCATTTTCTGATTCGTCACAGGTAAGGTTATCGATTGATCGAGGTTGTGGAGATACGTGGATTGACCAGAAACCACTCGATTGAGCTGAAATTCAGAAGCAAGGTTCACATCATCTGAAGAGTTAAAACTTACATATAACGGATTCCCATTACTTCTAAACATCACTGTCATAAACGAAGAAACTCCGGCAATCGGATCACAGGTAATCGATAACCCACAACTGTCCGTAGCTGTGACTATTGGATTCCATGCTTTCTGATTCGCAAGATAACTTCCTCCGTTGTTGTTCCTGATATCATCCTGATTGAACAAGTCTATTGAGCACTTGCAATTTTGCAAATCCGGATTTTTTGGTTTCACCACAAGACAACCTCCCACATTGTTAGGTAAAAAGTATAGAAATAGAAGAAGAACTTTCATATAAGCGAGAAGGATCAACATTCTCGTGGAACGGAATGTCGGAATAGAAAATGAGAAATGTGGTGTTGTTATATAGGGTTCGAGCTGATAGAATTGGAAATGAATCAACGGTTTACTGATTAGCATTATGTTAAAAAGACAATACATTGGCAGATGATGAACCTTTGAACTGAACAGGATTACTGTAGAAGGAAATGATCGAAAGTGAGGAGGATTACTGTAGGGATAAAAATACTTGAAAATTTAAAGGATTAATTCAAATTTCAAAAAATCTCTAGTCCCTGCACTTTCAAAGGATTGAAATATGCGCTACTGGTTTAATGGAGACTTGGTTGTGGTCCCAATTTTGGCATGTGCTGACTGTTTTTTGGGTTATTACCAAGAATAAACATTTTCTCAATTTTTCAGTTTCCTAATACAAGTTTTGATGAAATTTCAGAGAAAATAATAACGTGAATGCTCTAATAGAAGCTCACCCTACATGCGCAGTTTGAGCTCAATTATCTCCGTTCTTATGAGAGACATTAAAAATCTGTCAACTGATAAAATGTTTATCTTAATTTGAAAAAAATTTTGTCAGCTGATCACAACATTTTTGTAGTTTACAAAATTTTGATCTTTCACAGGAATCGAGATAATTGAGCTCAAAATTGAAAGTTTCAGTTACAGGCTTACAGTAGTTACAGGCTTACAGTAGACTAAATCCACCAAACTCCGCCCCCACGTCCAAAAAAGGGTCGTAAAACAAATTATTTTCCAACTAGCTCAACCCTCTATCAACGTCATGAACTCATTTTTTCGCAACTCGAAAAAATCTCAAGATTGGATCGATCCACAAATCTCTCTGACTCTTTATTCAGCGGATTCTCTATCTTTTGAAATCAATCCTCTCAAATGGGATGCAAAAAGCTACTTCATCTTTTACGCAAAGATGCACTGCTTTTATGGAGATCAAAAGTTTGGACTGCATTTGAGATCCTTCTTCCTCTGATTCTCATTGCTGCTCCGCCTCTTCTGATTTTGGCGGTGAGTTTAAAATGCTTATCTCGGTTCTTAGAAAAGATATCAAAAACTTTTCAACTAACAAAATTTTTATTATAATATCATCAACATTTTTGTAGTTTACAAAATGTTGATATCTCTTATAGGAACCGAGATAATTGAGCACAATGTGCAGGTGGCGCACAATTACCCGGACTGATACAAACGGGTATATTTTTTGACATAACTATCCCTTTGACATAACTATCCCGGAGACATGAAAATTTGTAAAAATATAATTTTACGTTTGATTCAAAGTTACTGAAATTTTCGAAGCGATTCCTTAAGTCTAGGTACTGTTATGATTGTTCAAAGACGAAGCAACTGTGACAAGCGATAACGCACGAGCTCATAGCTCATAGTTGAAAGAATAGTTTGGAACTAGGCCAGTTTATTTATGAGTAATTTGAATCTTTGCGCCCCGAGTTTGAAACCAGTGCATCGCTTTACTTAAATTTTATGTTAGTACAAACTTGAGTCCGGGTAATTATGCGCCACCTGTATACCTTTGATTCCTCAAAAACTTCAAGAAAATGTCTTAAGCTCACGAAAGGAAAGGATATAGATGTCAATCATATGCAAGGGAGATCTGATTCAACAAAAAAAAATTGAGCCCCGATTTCATAGTATACTGTGATGGTCATAGTAGCCGCCGTCTGAATATTGATCATGTGTAACGTTAATAAGAACCCCTGACTATACAAATTTATTTTTTCAGATATGATGATATAGATATAATAAGAAGCTTACCAGTCTATGGGGGAAAAACGAATCGCTGGGATTTCATTGAAAAAGCTCGAGATTGTGAAAACGTCGTTTATTTTGTGGAGAAAAACATGTCTAGTACAATTGCCATAAAAGGGAAGGGAAATCAACACTCGTTTGATTTCAATGGCTACATGTATTACATGAACAAAATAATATTTGGAATTTACGAAGCAAATGGCGGAAAGATTGACTCGCTCTCTGATATACGGACAATGCAATCTTATGGACATCCGATCGATGATAACGAACTTCACACTCTTCCGAAAGTTGATGAGATGAAACTAGGACAATTGATAATTCTCATATTCCCCTTTTTTTACGGAATTTGTCTAGCAATGCCTGTGATTGCGGCAACACGGAATTTGTTAGTCGAGAAGGAGAATGTTAAAGTAAGCTTAATTTTCCAACTGATTCCAAACAGAGCCTTTTTCAGCCCTACCTTAGCACAATGGGTCTTCCCATTTGGCTGTTCTATCTGGAACACTTCATTTTTGGAGTCCTCAAAACCACTGTCCTTATCACTCTGACATCACTCATTTGGTGTGCTTGTGTCACTGGATTCCCTGGTTATATCCTCTTGGGAATCTTCTTCTATACTTTCAATTGCATTGCCTTTGCTATTTTCGTTTCCACAATTTTTCCATCAGCAAAGAGGGCTGTCGAAGGAATGGTTCTTATTTGGTTGGCTTTGGTCATTTTCTCATTATTGTATACTCCGACTGGACCCATGGCATATGTGATTTCTTTGAATCCGACACATGCACTCAAGAATTATATTGGAGCTGTTATATGGGCTTATGCGGAAGATGGTGAGGGAGAGAGTGATTGATAAGTTACTTTTAAGACATTTCTTTCAGAAATCTCATTTGGCGATCTATTCAAATCAAACGTTGTTGGCTTCCCGCCAGCAGCTGTCTATCTCGCTTTCATGATTTTTAATACCATTTGGATGTTGGTCGCTGCCATTTTCATGGAGAAACTCTTTGCTTTCTTGGGTCATGTGATTTTTAAACACATTTGGGGAGTTCTGAGCAATCGAAAGAACAAAACAAAGACTGGAATGACATCGAGAATCGGTGTAGATAAATCGACAATTTTGGATGTGCAGGAAACGTTGGAAGGACGGACCACGGCGGCTATAGATATTGAGTTGAGTGGTCTTGTGAAAGTGTATCCGAATGGAGAAAAAGCTGTGAATGGATTGTCATTGAGAGCTGTGAGAGGACAAGTTTCGATTCTTTTGGGTCATAATGGTTGCGGAAAAAGTACAACGTTTGGAATGATAACTGGAATGCACAAACCAACGGAAGGGAAGGTTATGATAGCAGGAGTTGATGCCAATAAGAAAAGATCTGAAGCTCGGAAACTAATTGGATATTGTCCACAATACAATCCAATATACGAAAAGCTTACTGTAATGGAACATTTGAGACTGGTGAATGCTTTGAAGGGAGGATCGGGAGAGACGTTTAAGGCGGAGGCAATGAGTCTTTTAGAACAAATCGAGCTAACTGATAAGAAGGACACTTTGGCAAAAAAATTGTCTGGCGGAATGAAACGAAAACTTTGTGTTTGCATGGCAATGATTGGTGGAAGTCGAGTGATTCTCCTTGATGAACCTACTGCTGGAATGGATCCTGCTGCGAGAATCGATGTTCAGAAGATGTTGGCACTGGTGAAGGCTGATAGAACTATCCTGTTGACTACTCATTATATGGATGAAGCTGAGAAGTTGGGAGATTGGGTTTTTGTGATGTCTCACGGAAAGATGGCTGCATCGGGATCTATTCACTTTTTGAAGCAAAAGTACGGAGGTGGAATGTTGTTGACTTTGGTTTTCAAGACCATTTCCGATCCGAAGAAGAGTTATGAGAGAGCGCTAAACGTTTGTAAAGCTATTTGTCCGACGGCTACTGTGGTGGGTGATAACGCATTTCAAAGAATTTTTTGATAAAAAAATGTATGAAATTTTCAAGGACTAAAGAGAAAGGTAATGTCGTAATGTCGATGTTTGATGAATAAAAACGTTCTGTAAAAAATTAAACATGTAATGGCCTTGGCCTAACAAGTCTTCCATATAAGGATTCCTTTCGGCCAGGCAGTTTAGCCTACCGACCGACAGCCGACAGAGCTGACCAAATGTGGACTTTTGCGCGTCAGCATGCCAGTGTTTGGTCGGCCGACTAAATTCCTCGACTTAATGGAACCCTTAATCAGAATTGTTTGAGTTTGAAGATCTCATTTTTTCAGAAAGACGAGCGAGGCCAAATGATGGAGATATCGATTGCAGAGCGAGAGAAGGGTCTGCTTCCAAGACTCTTCCGTGCTCTTGAAGCTATTACAGAACGGAACTTCAATTCTCCAGATATCACGTCCTTAGGACCCTCTATTCATAATCAGGCTCAAAATTTGGATATTGTTACAGTAGGAGTTTCGATGAGCTCTCTGGAGCAGGTTTTTATCAAAATTGGAGATGAATGTGATATGGTGATCAATAAGAATACAGGAAGTGATACGAAAGCGGAGAGAAAAAAGAGGTTTGCCGGATTGATAAAGGCGAAGAAACGTGGGTCTCCATGTGCTTGAACGAATACAGTAACCCATTTTAAGAACCTCCAAAACAAGGATACCCGAGGAAACTGATGACACTGACAGCTCTTCTCCAGAAGCGTGCCTACTACATTTACCGTAACCCGATTCAAATATGTCTCCAAATTATCCTGCCACTCGCTACACTTTGGTTACTTGCGAACACGTTCAAAGGAATGGTATCAAGTCCGGCTTCTAGTGAGTTTGCATTTCACAGCGACATTTTTCAAAACCTACAGTAATCCTTTCCAGAGAAAATGGTTCAAATCGAGTCGTTGGATCTTTCTGAGTTCCCTCAATCTACAGTAATTTTGCAAATGGAAGAATCGGATAAGCGAATTTTGGATTATCTTCACAAGTTTTCAAATCTGAATGTGATGGAAGTTTCATATGATTTGGATATTAATGAAGTTGTCAAAAAATATGCAATGGTGAGCTCTAATCATAAAAATCCATTTGAAATCTAATCATAAAATCAATTTTCAGGGTTTCTCAATACTTGGATTTGTGCTAAAAGTGAATAAGAAAAAAATAAGTGCTATTTATTTTAATGAGCAAATGGAAGAGCAATACAAAAATAAAGCAATTCTAACAAATTTGCTCTCATCGGCAATGTATTTGCATTCGAATATTGCTAAGGAATTGCCACGCATTTCGTCTAATATCTATTGGATGATGGATTCTGAAGGAGTTTCAAAAGTGAGTATTTTTTGGTGACTATGTCAGTAGTGTGAAATGGTAAGAAAGTTTTGTAGAAATATCACCTGATTTTTGACTTGTGCGCCTTTAAAGTTGACGCCCTTCCTCCTCACCTCAGGAGCCAATCGCACCAACTTCAAAGGCGCATATCTCAAAAACTACGGTTGCTAGAGAAAAGTTGTCAACTGTATAAATGACGATCTAGTTTGGTTTCGTACACTTCACGCTCTCCCACAAAACAATTCCGAACTGCAAATTAATTTTTGATCTACAGAAAAAAAGTTTGGCGCGATCACAATTGCAGGTCTAAAACCATAATTTCAGAATTTTTTATCTGATTTTGTGGAGTTCCAAGATGATTCAAATGATTCTTAAAAAATTAATTAGTGGTTATAGATTCATGTATGGTCGTTTTCCGGAAGAAAACATGTCAAAAATGGTCATTTTTGAAAGTTTTTTACAGAAAAAATCTATCTCCTCTTTCAGTTTTTGACATTTCTAGGAGTCCGATATCTCAAAAAAACCGCAATTATTTTCTCTACATTTTCTATGGATGAATTTTTGATT